AGCTCTTTATCGAGGAATTTTTATGCCTTTTTCTTCCATTTCTTTAGTGTTCCTGAAATTATATGGAAAATGCTGTTGCTTTTTCTCGCTTTTGTTCGTTATTTGATTTTGGGAAAGGTTACCAGTCGTTATTGAAGTAAGGAAAATGAGTAATTGTCGCAGTTTTCTTCTATAACTTATTTGTTAACATTTTAATTTTCTTTTTATACACCGGTTAACTATAGGCGCTTTTTTTCCTTTAAAAGTTTTATTGTCTAACTTGATTTTTTTTTTGATTTATATACCAATCTTTCAATTAACAATATCAGTTTTGTAATGAGCATTTACTGTATAACATTTGGAATAGTTATAAAATTAATGATCGATTAGAAAGCGATAAGATTTAACTAAACATTGAAGTAAACTTTGGAAAAAATTCCGTTTATTTTGTTTTTTTTTTCTAAAAATCTTTTATTCACATTTTGACAAATTCTCTGTCATTGGTGGATACGAAAATTTTTTTTTGAATTATAAAAAAAATTAGTTCTTTTTTTTTCTCGTTCTCGAAGGTTTTAGTGTAAATTTAGTCAAGTGAAGGGATAGGAGCGGAGATGGATGGAATAAAATGTTCAAATTTTTGTTGGCTATTACGGTTGTGGCTTTTTTGATTTTTAATTTAGTTAGTTACCACGAAAAAAAAAGGAACAGGAGAAAAAAGTAAGAAAAGGAGCATCTGTAATTGACAGACGTTTTAGTTTGAATTTGGTTTTACCGGGAACTTAAATTGGGTTAACGGGTCGGAGAAGATGTGAAGAGGGCATCGTCACCAGGGGACGGAAGAAAAGCTTTTATGCGCTAAAGGAGAGGGCAGAAAGTACGGAAGAAACTTTTTGTTCATTTATTTATTTTTTTATGTCTATTAACACCAAGAAGAAAAGTTAGCATTTTCATTTATTTATTTCTAAAGATTACCTCAGTTTGGTGAGATGTTTTTTAATAGTATTGCTATTTTTAAAGTATGGTTCTTGAAAATAAAAAGAAACTAAGAATAAAGATAACGATTAATTTATTGATGATAACTGAGGAAAAATAGGTATTCTGATAAATTGGATGATTTATTTTATGTTCTATTAACAACAATCAAAATAGCTTCAGTTGCTTGTCGTAACCACAAGAAATATTTCCTGGAAATTATTGTTTTTGCATCGCCATTTAATTACAGTTTGTTTTATATTCAGGATCAAAAACAAAAAAGTTTTTTTTTCTTGTTAAACAGCGTTGGTGTATAACGAAATTGTTAGCGGATTACATATATTTTAAGCAGATGAAAAAAAGAAAAAAGATTATTGCTGCAGCAAAAAAAACCAACAGTAGCAAAAAGGCACAAAATTGGATGTAAAATTCTGACGGATTGGATAAAAGGATACTTTTTTCAAAAAGGTTCATTACGAAGGAAGAAAGAAAAACGAGTGTTCAGATGGCAAAAAAAAAAAAAAAATGTTGTTTATAAAATTGACAGCAACAAATGTAATGTTATAAAAAAAGTAAAAAAAGAAAATTCACAATATATACGTAAAAATATCGACGGGAATAACGTAGGATAAAAAAAGTATTAAGTATTTTGGAGCAGTTTTGATTTTTTACTTTTTTTTTTTTTGTAATATTTTTGGCTTTTTTACTCTCTCATTACAGTTGGTATTTGCTATAAAAAAGAAAGAAGAGCGAAGAAAGTGGAGTAAAAAAGTGATGACGATGATAAGGTTTTCATATTTTTGTGTGAAAGTTTTTTTGTGTTTTTCTGTGTGTATGTGGTTAATATGTATTTGCTGCTGCTAACTGACATCAAAAATTTAGCATCAAATACATTGTGTGAAATATTGTTTTGCTTTATCTTCCTCATCCCTCTTCCTTCGCCTCATTCGCTTCAATACCTCAAAGATATAAGTTGTAGTTGTGGCATATGCACGTAATTTTATTGTACATCCCATAAATCACCGATATCATTGATAGGTAGAAGACTCCGAGAAGAAAAAAAAAAAAAGAAAGAACAAATAAATAAATACAGATGAATAAAAATGAGAAGCAGAAGAAGGAAGAAAAAAAAAAAAGAAAGATTACTGTTTTTGTGAACAGAAAATATCACATATATGTATATATAGAATGGTGGACAAAAACAGAGCGTTACTCCTCTTAAACTGTGCATCCAATAGATACTTTCTGAGTTTCTGAAAAAATGAAATAATATCTGAACAAAAAGGCAATTTTTTTCTTTTTAGTTTGTAACTATAATTAAATTTGATATTTATTAAAATCTTTCATAAGCTTGTATGCGATTAATTATTTTCAAGAAATTTTGTTTTATTTATGTAATTGCATCAAAACTGTAGTAGTTCTGAACAGGAGTGTGGAGAAGAGGGATTTTTGACCTGAGAATTAATTGATAAGCTGTTGAGTTTTTTGGTTGTTTGATTTAATTTGTTTTGTGGACTATTGTCATCACTATTGTCATGTTTAAAGACAGTAAATTACTCTAGATTTATGTTTAAAAACAGAGAGAATTTGTTAGTAAATTTAATTGATTTTTCAATTAATTACTGGTGAAATTTTTATTATTTTTAGTGAACAACTCTCAATGTCAGCGAAGGAAGTTAATGTCATTTAATTTCCAATACGTTTTTGTTTGAGTTACACATTATTATTATTATTGAAAAAGTACCACTAATAACGATAATAATAACGACAACAACTGCATAAAATTTTAGGATACTTTTGAATTCACGATGGACGAATTGGCTAGATGTAGACCTGCATCTATCAACAGTCGGTCGCCAACAGATGAATCACCAAAATCCAACCATGACAGTGTTGGTAAATTTAAGGTATAGTGAGGTGTTCAAATTTATGGATTAGTTATTCTTATGAGTATTTTATTGTTGCTTTTGTTCGAGTACAAGTGAGAAGTTTTAGTGGGTCAGAATTTCTAGATAGGTGTGTACGAACGGTAATCTCTCCGCTAGTTCTATTAAAGTACTTTTTGTTGGTAAATTCCGATAGAAAATCATTTCTAAAGAAAATTCTCAAATTAAGACTTGTTTGAAGTATAAGATTTTTAGATTATTTCATTCGTAAACGACAAGTCTAGTAATGATGTTGGTGGGTCCACATCGCGAAAAATTGTTGTTTCTTCGCCAGTGTCACTTCAGTCCCTTATTGACTCTAGGAAAAATGCTTCTTCGTCCGAAACATTCACTACTAGCTTTTTAAAAATATGGTTAGTTTTTACCTATTTATTATGATTGAACATTGATCGCAGTAGTCTATAAACATCATCATTGTTCGAAAAAATAGGAGTCTCCCATTAGTGTTGCAAAACTGCAAAGAGCTCACCGAGGTTTTATTTGCAGCCCTCGTGATGAAATAACGCTAAATACTGTCCAGGGCGAAAACGACCTTATCGATATTATAGCTTTGAAAAATGAGGGCAATAAGAGTGTAATGTATGAAATACTAGTTTCTTCATCAGAAAAATTTCGTGCACGACCAAATACGGGTACAATAGCTGCTGGGGCTACGGATCTTATCCACATTCATCTTCTTAGCGGTTCGATTGTATATGATCTTGAAAAGAACATATTTTTTTTGAAATCCGCTTAGACATTTTATATCTAGCATTACTCAGTAGTCACCAAGTACAAAAGATGGTGTTTCAATTTGAAAGTAACACGTATATTGGTGACAGTCAAAATGTCATTCAATTATCTTATAGAATACAAACACACCATTGATCAGGATAACATCGCAATAGTGGCCGTCGAAGTTGGAACTCCAACCAACTCAAACTTTGAAACAGTATTCAAAAAAGCTGATGAAAAGGCAACGGTGGCTTACAGATTGGGATGCCATTTAGCAGGGAATGTAAAAAATCCATCCACCCATCAAACCAGCGATTCCAGCGTAAGTATCGCATCATATCACTTGCTTGCAGAGTTGTAGTTAAATAATATAAGTTAGTTATCTTAAAAACTGCAGGATAAGCTTGAATTTACAATAAACCAATTGGCCTTGTGTTCACAAAAACAACCTTACAACAAGTCGGCAGCAGACGAAATGCGGCCAAATCTTGACGGTTTTATCAAACAAAAGGTGGAGTTCTAGAAACCACAACTGCTGCCATTGACCTCTTCACTAAGCTCATCTTTTTTTATTTTAAAAAATAAATGAAAATTTTTGCACTGCTGAAATTAAATGAAAGCTGTTTTTTCACTTTTCGTGTTTAAGAGTTTACTGAACGTTGTTATTGGGGAGCATGCAAACAGCTTTTACAATGATTTC